CAAACAAACAAGAAAACTTAGTTCAAATTTATTGTTGGCTAGGGCTTACAGTCTTATTTATCTGGACTATCAACTTACTGTTACTTTTCCTTTTAAAGAAAAGCAGCAAGTCTCAGGATGTCTTCGGATGATGTCCGGCTTTGTATGTCAACATCAGAAAGAAACTCCCCAGGTCTCCTCAGGATGACCTCCAGTGACCTGAATACATGTATTGAAGGGCCTGTGTTAAGTTTCTTCCATAATATTTGCTATCAAGTAAAAGTGAAGCATGGCTTTCTACCTCGTCATAAAACAGTGAAGAAACAAATACTGTCAAATGTCAGGTGTGCTTAACTTAAAAGATTATTTTTATTGACCTACTATAAACTTCCCAGGTTTTGCTTATTAACACTATTAAGCTATTATAAACATTTGTGTATAAATCTTTGTATAGCTATTTAGTATAGATATTTAGGCATGTGATTTTATTTCTTTTTTTTTCTTCTTTTTTCTTTTTTCTTTTTGCAGAACTGGAGATTGAACTAAGGCCCTTGTACTTGCCAGGCAAGCACTTATTCTACCGAGCCATCTCCCTGGCCCCTGTGATTTTATTTTATTTTATTTTATTTTTTTTGGCTAAACTAGAAATGAATGATCACTTGTTAAGTATAGCTTTCATTTTGAAAGGAATTTACACACTGATTTAAAAATGGTTGTATCATTCATGTGGAACCAGAAGAGACCCAGAATATCAAAAAGCAATCGTGGGAAACAAAGGAATGGCAGGAGGTATCAAAATCCCTGACCTGAAATTGTGCTATAAAGCTACTCTGATAAAGTCAGCATAGCACTGGCATAGAGACAGACCTGAGGATCAGTGGAACAGATTAGATGATAAAAACACAACCACAAACACTTTCAGCCATCTTATCTTTGATATAGTGGCCAAAAATATTAACTGGAAGAAAGATAACCTCTGTAATAGTGCTGGAAAAAATGGCTTTCTACATGCTGAACGCTAAAATTAGATCCATGTCTATCACCACAAAATAAACTACAGCCAAAATGGATGAAAGATTTAAACATTAAAACAGAAACACTAAATCTTCTGGAGGAAAATGTAGGCAGAAATCTTAAAGACATAGGACTAGGTAGAGAGTTCATGAACAAAAGCCAAATTTTGTGGAGAATACTTCAAAGAATCAACAACTGGGATCTCATCTTTTTGAAAAGTTTTTGCACTTGAAAGGAAGTCTCCAACAGAGTAAAAAAAAAAAAAACCGCGCAAACTGGAAAAAGAATTATAGTCAACTGTCCTTTTGACAGAGGGCTTCTATCTAGAACATATAAAGAATTTAAAAAGTCTAATTCAAAGACCCAATCCATAAATGGGATCTGAGATGAATAGATAATTTTAAGAGGAAGAAATACAATAGGAAGTAAATACATGAAAAAATGTTCAACATCATCAGTCACTAGAGAAATGCAAATTAAAACAACTTTGAGATTCCATGTCACTCCAGAAAGAATGGCCAACATTCAGCAAATAACAAAATCTGGAGGGGCTGTGAGGAAAAAGAAACCCTTCTGCACAGTTGGTGGGAGTGCAGACTGGTACAACCATTAGGGAAATCAGTGTGGAGATTCCTTAAAAATCTAGGATTGGAGGTCCTATTCAAGGCAGCTATTCCCCTCCTCAATACTTTTCCAGAAGAACTAAAAACCTCATATCACAGATATATATGTATATATTTGAGTATTCATAGGATAAACAGGAAGTTTAAATAAACATGAATTT